TGCGCCAGAACGGCAAGGTCGGCATCATTGGCGAGTTTGCCCGCGGTGCCAACACGCAGTGCCGCGATTCCGTCCGCGGCCTGCTCACCTTCCTCGAGGCCAACGCCGACGTCTGGCAGGGCTATCTCTGGTGGGCCGCCGGCCCCTGGTGGGACACCTACATGTACAGCTTCGAGCCCCCCAGTGGCACTGGCTACCAGTACTACAACGCTCTGCTCAAGGAGTTCATCCCTTAGATGGACTTTGGCGAGACAGACTGAGCCTGAATCCCATTTCCTTTTCGGAGGGCTGGAACCTCGGGCATCCAGACAAATGATTGGTCTCCGCCGGGACTCACATGATGCGGAGGGGCATAGAGGGGAGGGTGCTTGTACATAGCGATGGAGGGAGCAAGCTTCAGGACCGTACATACTTGACCACGTACATACTTTGTGACGATACATAAAATTCAACTGTACATATTGACACCATGATTTGGCCCTTCCTTTATGATTTTGTTTGTGTCTTTTAAAGCAGAATCTGTTCTTTGACTTTTTTTTGGTGTCCATTGGCCCAGACCCCGAGCATCGAGTTCAAGCTCACTAAACACCAAAAGACCAAATACCAAAAGGCCGCCCCAACGCCTCGGGTGGACTTCACGGTTCGTATCGTTCATACATGAAACAAGGTCCAATCAGCTTCGAATAAGCCGAGGTTGCATTTCGAACACCATGATGTCCCCGTTCTTATCGTGCATTCTCCATACAAGCGCCTTGTTTCGATCGCTGCGAGGTTTCCCCTCGTCGCACGTCATTCGGTGCCACCTTGATGGCCACCTCAGAGCAGCCCTCACCATGCTAACCACTTTGCGGCATGACTCGCCTTCCTGATGAGGAGCGTTCAAAATTATGGAAGGGGTTTGTCTTAAAAGGCAATGAAGAGTCTTGTCAGACTGACGTCTTCGAGACGCCAATGTTCGTAGCTCATGGCATCTTGGTTGACGCATCCTACATCATGGATTTCACCCCCGAACGCCGCCTCACCATTTGTGTGTGCTCCCACAGAAGATCATTGGCGCAATCACTTGTTCATCATGTCTCATTGACGCCGGCGACTCAATCTTCAACTCCGTCGACAGTCCCAAATCCAGCGGTGGCGAAACCATCCGGGGACGTCGTCGTGCAGACAGGCAGCCGAGACAAGACGAAGACGGCTTTCCTCGACCCTGAGAGGCCGACTGCTTTCAAAGTGGCAGAGCGCTTGCAAGAGATACTTGAATGGCTGGCAACGAGCTGGGTTGCCAGTGAAGAACCATATACAACTTGGACAACCAACGAAAGACAGGCTGGAGGAAGAGCGCTGTGAGGGTTAGGGTTATCTTATGTCTTTGGTCTTGGGGTCAACAGGCGTTTGGGTCACGATCAAAGACAGAAAGGCGAGCCACGGTGCCTCTGCAGAGAACACCAAACCATAGAGCCGTTTCCAGTAGCTATTTCTTGGTCCCGTCAAGCACAATCGACCTCAGCATCGACCATTGTCAGCCTTTGAACCTGTCATATGCGTGCACGGACCATGCGAGGGGTTTCGCTCAGCTGAGCCTCAGCTGAATATCTCGACCTCGGCCTCCTCCTTGATCTGGACCTGGTTCTGCTCCTGATGAGTTTATAATTTTCTGTACTCTTCCAAGATCAATGTATGCTTACTGCGCGCCCAATAGTCAAGCTCGACCCCCAAGTCCATGCCCGCCCCGTCGCACGCTCCACAAGGCCCGTCCCGAGGCGCGGGCCGGCCCCGCAGCCTCCGGGTGCTATCGCTCGACGGCGGCGGCGTCAAGGGCTATTCGACCCTGCTCATTCTCAAGCGCATCTTTGAATCCTTGACACCCGAAGACGGAAAAGGCCCAGAGCCGAAGCCGTGCGATGTCTTTGATCTCATCGTCGGCACGTCGACGGGGGGCCTCATCGCAATCATGCTCGGCCGCCTCCACATGTCCATCGACGAGTGCCTGAGCGAGTACGAAAAGACGAGCGCTGTCGTGTTTGGCAATCCCATCGCCCAGAACCCCATCGGGAAGCTGTTCAAGAAAGTCGCTACCGGCTCGTTCTATGACGTGACACTGCTGGAAGGCGCCATTCGGGATCTGCTTGTCCAGCGCGGCAAATCGGCCGATGAGTTGTTTTGGGAGAAGGATCCTCAGTGTAGAGTGTGAGTTGAACCAGAAGATACCGTGACCGGGCCTCTTCACGCCCAGCCGAGACATACTGACCTGACCACTCCAAGCATGGTCTGTGTGACGAGGAGCATCACCAGTAAGGTGGACGTGATCCGGAACTACACATCCAGGCACCCGACGCAGCAAAACTACAAGTGCGCCATCTGGGAGGCCGCCGCCGCCACCGCCGCAGCGCCCATGTTCTTCCGCTCCGTCACGCTCAAGACGGGCGAGGAATGGGTCGACGGCGCCATGCGCAGGAACAACCCGATCAACGAGGCCATGAACGAAGTCAACCGCGAGAGCGAACGCGGCTGGGAGGGCCGCGCCATCGGCTGCACCCTGAGCATCGGCACCGGCGTCGCGCAGGTCCGCGAGGTGTCCAACTCGGCGAGCGCCCTCGTCAAGAGCGTCGTCAAGATCATGACCGACTCGGAGGACGTCGCCGACGCCTTCCTCAGCAGCTCCTTTGGGCAGCAGCTCGAGCGCAGCCACCGCTACTTTCGCTTCAACGTGCCGCAGGGCCTGCAGGCCGCTCAAAGCTCGACGAGTGGAAGGAGACGAAGAGGATGAATGCTTTCACGATGGAGTACCTGTCCAAGTACGAGACGGGCAAGTCGGTCGTCACTTGTGCCAAAGTCTCTCCTTGACCCAGACGCTGCGAGTTAGTCTTGCTTCCGTACATGGCGCGCGTCGAGTGGGGAGATCAGCCGCTGATGATTCTTGTGAGGCAGTTCCGGTTGTCACGCGCAAGTTGACTCTCCGAGGTAGTCCATGTGTGAATTTCATCGACAGGGCGGCCTACACGAATGTTCTCAAGGACTTCTTCTGGACCTACGTCGATGAGACAAGCCAGATCTTTGTTCTATGGGGTTTAGGCGGTGTCGGGTACGCAGCCTTTTTTCCACATCTCTGTCTCTCTTCCTTACCAATAAAACCGAACCAACCCTGTAGTCGCTACATCTGACATCCACTAAGGAAAACCCAGCTGGCCTTGAAGCTTGCTGACACGATGAGCCAACGAGTATCAGTCATATGGATCCGCGCAGACCAGTCGAACAATTTCAAGCTAGACTACTCCAAAGTCTTGAGTCGGATGCTTCACGATGATGATCAGCCCCCCAGGCTCGAGACCATGACTGGTGCCGTTCTAGACGACCATCTCGAGCAGACTAGGGACTACCTCGAACAGCACCCAGGCGATTGGCTCCTGATTCTAGATAATGCTGACGATATGACAGCGTTCCGGGAGTCCATGGAGAGTTATCTCCCGATGCGAGGCAGGATCCTCGTCACCACGAGGGACCCGCGGTTCCAGGGCGATTTTGGAGCGCCAGACGATGGCATGAACGTTGTCCCCATGGACGATGAACAGAGTGTGAAACTCTTGCTAAAGCTCATACCAGCCAGGCTCCAGAAAGGCGACGAAGAAGAAAGCGCGCGAGCCAGGGAACTCGTCGACCTGTTGGGGCAACCTGCCCCTGGCCATCGCACAAGCGGCAGCGAACATTATTGACCAGCAAGTCTCGCTGAGCGAGTACGCGGCCGCCTTTCGCGAAGCAACCGACAAGTTCGAGGCTCTCAAGGCATCGACACACGACCGACGGACCCGCGACCCGCGGAATGCGGTGCAGTCCGTGGCGCTGACCTGGCAGATCTCGTTCGAGCGCCTCGAGCAGTCGTCGCCGCTGTCGGTGACGCTTCTCGGGTACCTAGCCTGTCTGCACTGGGACTCGGTGCCGCGCGACCTGCTGCGGCAGTTTCCAGACTTCGCCGGGCTCAGCGACATGGAGTTCCGCAACGTGCTCGCGCGCCTCATCCAGCTCTCGCTCGTCGAGGAGTACGCCGTGGACGACTGGCCGCAGCTGCGCATGCATCCCATGACGCACGAATACGCCTGGAAGCGCACCAGAGAAGACCCGGCCGAGTTTATCACAGGCTGCTTCCGGCTGCTGGGCGCCCTCTTCCCGCTCGTCAGCGGCGAGGACGACAATACCTGGCAGCTCTGCTCCTATCTCGCGTCGCACGCGATGCGCGTCGTCGGCCTGGCCCAGTCCTTGGCCTTGCAGAGCGAGAGTCAGCCGGGCCTGATGCACGTCCTGGCACTCTACCTGAATGCCTTTGGCAACGTGCACGTGGCGTGCCAGATAGCCAGCGAGGCTCTCGAGATGGCCAAGCACTTTTGGCCCGATCAGCCGTCGCTCCTCAACAGTTTCGCTGGACCAAGATTCAGTGCTTTACAAACCGCCCAGCGCTTCGAGGAATCTCTCGTGGACATCGACACCTGGGCCGAGACGGCCGACCTACCCTGGACGCAGACGCCGACGGTGCGCACTCGTCAACATCCGTCCCTCGCCTGAAGCCGACAGAAGCGCGCAGCACTGAACCAAAAAATACTCTGCGCTCAAAGAACTGAGACGCTTCGACGAGGCGCATCTCCTCAGCAAGCAACTCGAGCCCCCGACAGAGGGGACCGAGAACCGAGTGGACGGCGATGGCGCTCATCACGAAAGCACAAACAGTGCGCATGCGCTCCACAGGGGAGGCCGCAGCCGCGAGGCGCGCACTGTCGTTGACGAGGTGCTCAGGAACGTCAGGGGGCCAGACGGGGAGCTGAGGGTCAACCGACGGGAGTATCTCGCCTTCCTGAACCTCAAAGCAGACCTGCTGCTGCGCGGCGGGGACGGAACGGGCGACATGAGCGAAGGGATGGCGCTGTTCAAACAGGTGTACGACGAACAAATCACAACGACGGGCGTGGTCGACTCGGACACGTGGATCGCGGCCAACAATGTGGTCAACACGCTGGCAGACGCTCCGGATGAATTTCCCGACTCGGCCCAAACGAGCGCGCGCATATTCGTGGAGATGCTGACGGCGTGTGCGGCACCGGGCATGAAGCAGCTGAGAAACCAAGATTCAGGCAAGTTTCAGAGGCACGTACGCGTGTTTCTCATTCACTTTGACGAGTTCTTCAGAACTGGGCGTGTTCCGGCCGCCGAGAGTGACAGGCTCCTTGAGCTGCGCGAGACGCTCATGAGCAAATTTCTCCTGCAAACGGACATCACTGTTTTCGTCGAGACCTTCTCGGTTCACAATACGCGTGGGGTGCACCTCCAACAGCGGGGGCGCGCTGCGGAAGCAGAGATATGCCATCGAGATGCCATGAAGGGTCTCGTCGAGTGGGGATCCATGGGGCTTGATAGGCCGCCCGTACCGGGTATCAATTCGATGAAAGACTACGAGGAAACCGTCTCGACCTACCACTACAACATCATGCTAGCAATAGCTCGTCAAGGCCGTTTAGGGCACGCGCACGCCTACCGAGAGGAGAATATCAGGTCACTAGAGTTCGCGGAAACGTCCTGGGGGCCTTTGGACGTGAGAATGCAGACTGATGAGATGGATAGGCTCGTTCATGCGGAGGCACAGAAGCGATTGCTAGATGGGGACGTGCCGAGTGATGATCCTGAGGGCTGGTGGATGCAGCACGATGTCAATCTCTCTCGTTCCAAGATGAGGTATGGGGTTCTGAAGGTTCCGAAGGCCGGAGAGAACATGGTAGCAGTTGTTGACGACAGCGAAATCCATGATGCGAGCGTAGAAGAAGAGCGGGAACTTGACAAGCAGCAGCAACAACAACAACAACAACGACAACAACAACGACAAAGTGACCCAGTTCCACGGGAACCAGCCAAACCACAAATCGAAATATTATCAGCGAAGACTAGTAGCAGATGGGGGAAACGGCTGAGGCTTGCGCTAAGGGAAAGGATGAAGGTCTCTTCGCCAGAGGCGGTCCCTCTAGCTAGGTAGGCCAGTGGCTATCATTGACCTAAGAAATGGTAATTCCTGAGTCTGGGATTTTCATAGCTGTGACAACCAGACACTCGACACTCGGTGTTGGTCAAGTGGAATCGTCTTCATCGTGATTGAATATATCTGCAAGTCATTTTCATGGCATGACACGGCCGGCTCAGGAGAGCGACCCGATGATACTTAGGGTATACCGCGACAACAACTATAGACACTGAGAGTACCACTGGTTCTGCGCACGACAAGTGCTACCGGACTGACAACAGATCGCACCGCTCCATCCCTGGCCACCACACTGCGCCCAGCGCACAGCACAGTTGCCCCCTCCACCAGGCGGCGGCGCAGGAGGCGTGGTAGGCGGAACTGCAGGCGGTGTCGTAGGTGGCACCGTAGGCGGAGGGGAAGGCGAGCTTCCGCCTCCGACAGCCTGAGTGAAGAAATCCCATGTCTCCGTAGCGATCCAATTCTCGGTGCCCTGACCGCGGTGCTCGGCGACATGGTCGCCGCCGTGGGCGATCCACCAGACCGGGAAACCCTCTCGACAGCTGTATTCCGTTTTGATGTGAGCGTTGGATCCGCCAGATGGCTCAGGTGCATTCTTGGCTGCACAGCCATTGAGGCGTAAGAAGCGGTCGCGGAGCTCGTGACCCCTACTGATGGGCAAGACGCTGTCAATGACCCCGTGGATACCGAGGTAGGCAACGGGCGTGGTGCCGCCGGAGCAGCCGCTCAGCTGAGCACCGGCAATGACAGAGACGGCGCGCCAAATATCTGGGTTGACCCAGACGCGTCAGAGATGTGCAGCTGTCAAAAGAGGGAGTCTTCACTTACTGGGGCGTGCGCACGCAAGGGCGTTTGACATGGCGCCGCCGTAGCTGAAGCCCGTGGCGAAGCGCTGCGTTTCGTCGACGCACAAGGCATCCTGGACCTGGGCTAGGATTTGGTCGACAAATGTAATATCTGAGTCGCCGCTGTTGGCCCAGCCAGCATTCAGACCATTGGGAGCCACAAAGATGGTCGACTCCTCGGCAAGGGCCCGTAGGCCGTAGTAAGTCGGGGCCACATTGCCCATGTTACCTCCAAGCCAGTGGAAGCCAAAGACGAGCCTGTACTCTCGGTTGGCATTGTAGTTGGCAGGGACCTGCAGTATGTACTGGCGGTTGCCGATGTTCTTCGTGCCGCTTGAAGGAGGTGTCTTGCCGCATCCTAGTGTTCGCGCGAGAACGTTCTGCACGGAGGCAGCGAGGAGCAGGAGGAAGAGTGACGCAAGGGTCTGCATTTCGGCAACCTTGAGAGTGACAGATCGACCTGAGTCTGAGCTACATGGAGATATCAACGGACGGAACCCTTGGCTCAACTACCATACCAGAAGACCTCTCTTATAATGCGTCTCAACTGAGTCCCACACCTTTGCCTCCTGTGGCCTGAATTGGGAATACCGGGCTTGGTCTACGAAACGACACCGGAGCCACGGCGCCGACATGGAAATAGATCACGATGGGGCTCGGGTCTCTGGTTCCGCGAGAGTGACGGCGTTGGCTGTATGGGTGCGCTGATGTTACGGTGATCTGGCTGCAGCGTAACAATGTTCCGTAAGAACATTGCCCAGCACTTTCCTCATCAGGTTTCCCCGCATTGTCGGTAGTTGATCGAGGCATGCATGCGCGAACGACTGACCTGAATACACCCAGGACGTTGACTCGATGGCTGACTCGACGAGGCGACTTCATGTCGAGACAATTTGATCATGGCGCTGGCTGGAGATTCACCCCAACACGCGGAAGATCAGAAGTGGGCAGAGTGGTTTGAACCACAAGTCCCATTCGTGACACTTCCACATCATACTCTCGGCCCTCCGAACCCGGCAGCGAGTCGAATCTCCTTGGGTATAGTGGGCGCTTTCGGCTCAAATGCATCCACGACGCTCCCCCCGACGACATCGACAGCCCCCCATCTCTGCTCTCTTGACCGGCGCGGCCCTTGGGCCTTTGTCCCACACGCCAATCTCATCTAGAAGCACCTCAACCACCCAGACAAACCTCGCGTCGCCTGGTGCGTTGGCGAATATCCTTTCGGCATCTTCAGCGCTGCGCGGCACACAGGTACACAGCAGGTGTAGATCAAGTATCTGCGCAAAGACCATGCCGAAACTGGCTTATTCCGGCGAGAAGCGGCGTTTTGATAGCCAGCGATGG